TATAGTTTTTTTTAAAGCTACCTGTTTATCCAGCACTTATTGTTTATTGCTATTTGAGATTGGGTTGTGTTTTCAGGTTCTGTGCTAAGTTCCCTGTAAGCTGTGTGGCTGCTCAGCTATGTAGCTGTTTTCTGAGCCCCCACTCAGAATTTCAAAGCTCCTGCACGGGCAGAGGGAGCTCTGCTGACCGGCGGGGAGGAGGTGAATCTCCTAAGCAGCAGCTAAACAGAGCTAGCTTCGTGCTTAAACTGAGGAGCTCCCAGAGCTGATAAAGAAGGGAGACAAGAAGGGAATAAGTGGCTGGGGGGAACAGGAGCTGGGGGGGAGGGCGAGAAGAAGGAGAAGGAGGGAGGGAGTAATTGGCTAAAGGGTTGTCAGAGGGGAGGAGAGTTTGAAGAGTCCTGTCTGTATGAGGAGAGAGGCAGAGGCAGAAACTGAAACCCAACACTCTCCTCAAGGCTCCTGGGAACTGGGAGGTAAGGGGATGTCTGCATGGAGTAGGTGGGAGGAAAGGGGGTGGGTGGGTGCTGGCATTGGGGTGAGGTGGAGGCAGGGGGGAGTGAGTTTGTGCTGTGTGTCCTGTGGTGAGGTGGGGGAGGAGTAGAGAGTTTGTGCTGTGTCCTCCCAGCTAGACTGCTCATGTCTGCTAGTTTGAGAAGCAGGATTTTATCCCAACCCAGGAGTAAATTGTACAGCAGTAGGTGGGGGAAAGGGACTGGGTGGGTCCTGGCATCTGTGCAGTGAGATGAGGCAGGGAGCAGTTTGTTTGGGGTGTCCTGACTCGCTGCGGTTCTCTCCGGCTGGCTGGGTTGGAGGTGTGGAGAGGAAGCAGGCTCCATGGGGTGTGTGTGTGCCTGGAGGACACGATTACATTTCAAACAAAATTTACATAGGAGTTAATGGTTTAAAGTAAGAAAGAAAAATATTCTTTTAACAGAATTGTTTTGGAGTGTTGCAGATATTTAAAACTATAATCTTAATGATTTTTTAAATAGTGCTTTATTAATACATGGTATATTGTATTGCATTAAGGCCAGATTTTTGCTATGTGGTAGAGTTCTGGCTCTTATGGGTCAGAAGAAGCAAGTACTAGGTGTGATTCTAGTTGTTTTCTAGGATGAAACCTTATTTGCAAGTTCTTTGAAACATTCATCTGTCTATAAACCGTGAAGCTGTGTGTTAACTTGTTCTAGGGCTTCTACTATTTGAGTTGGTGACACACACAAGGTAAAAGTTTCAAACCAGGAGAACTTTTATCTGTTTTTTTACAGCAAAGATCCTAAACATTTCCCAGAGAAACTGTATAAGCCTGAATGAAATGCCTTTTACTTTACTTTCCAGTATCAGTAAATATTGTATGAGTCATGCTTTCCTTGCAAATACTATTTCTAGTTGACTCATAGATTTGTATAGCATCTTAAAGCTGAGCTATGTGTGGCTAATATGCATTTTGGTGTGTTTATAAGCTTGAGTTGTTAGAAAGGATGATTGTACATATACTGCAAGGGTAGTGTTAATTTTCTTTTTATTGATTTCATATTAAATTAAAGGAGATGCATATCTCCCAGAATGGACCTTGAATCCAGTCCCCTGCCTTCATAGCAGTATTAAGTACCATCCCTGATAGATTTTGCTCCAGATCTCTAAGTGGCCTCCTCAAAGATTGAACTCACAAACCTGGGTTTAGCAAGCCAATGCTCAAACCACTGAGCTATCCCTCTCCCCTACTTGCATAAGCATTGTTCCTTGTTAACTATTCCTTATTTTAATAAATTTTCTTCTACATGTAGGTGGGTGTTTTGTATGTACTGGTGGTGCACATCCACACACTACCTCAATATTGGTGTTGCACATAAGAAATTTCAACCCGCTCAAGGACAGAAAATGTTAGAGGGAACACTGTTGTTGTGATTGTTGTGTATATATATACTCCTGTAGTGAATAAGGGATAGCTATGTCCTAAGAAGTTAGCCATAAAATGTTTGTTGGGCCTTTGCTTAGGACACAGGACAGAGCTGTGCTCAGTAGGTTTTTCTAAGGCTACGTCTACACTGGCCCCAAATTCCGGAAAAGTGATGCAAAGCAGGTGAGTCAGAATAGGGAAATCCGCGGGGGATTTAAATATCCCCCCGCGGATTTAAATAAACGTGTCCGCCGCTTTTTTTCCGGCTTGGGGAAAAGCCGGAAAAAAGCGTCTAGACTGGCATGATCCTCCGGAATAAAGCCCTTTTCCGGAGGATCTCTTATTCCTACTTGAAAGTAGACGTAGCCTAAGTGTTTTTGTTGCTCCCTTCATTGCCTGTTTGCAGTCTTTCATTGTCCTTCAATGCCCTGGGGTAGGAAAGCATTTGGTAGCTGTAGCCACGTGGGCAGAGGAACAGTTTTTGCCTTGGTGTTCTGCATAGGTTAGTTAATGTCTGAAGAACAAGCCTGTGGCCTGAAAGAGACTTGAGTGGCAGAAAGTCCCCACTGGTTTGGGGAAGCGGGCCAGCTGCTTGCATTTACCATGATTCCTATTCACTTTGCAGAGCTATACATTAGTCTGTGCATTGTGGGTAGTGCCTAGGAAGCATAGCTCTGGCTCCACTGTGCTAGGGTTCTGTACAAATAGCACCACGGGACGCAGGGTTGTGGAGAATCAGGCCCTGAATGAAGAACGCTTGCCACTCCTGTAGCAGAGAGTCAGGTGTGAATACTAGATACGGAGCCAGGAATTCCCAAATTCTAACCTTGGCTCTGACCCAGGCCTCTGCCTGATGTCTCAAAGGCAAAACCACATCAAGGGTTTCAGGTTTGGACCCTTTGTCAGCTTCCTTAAAGACAACAGACTTGTGGCAACTGAGTCTCCCCTGTTCGAGCAATCAATGCGTTTCAAGTGATTTTACTGCTCATTAGGAATATGTGGGATTCCACGAGGATAGAGAGAAAGTCCAGGTGAAGTCGTAAGGGCAGAGCGTGGGACTCCCACCAAAAAGCTGAAGCACAAAGTACGGACGCTCCGCCATGATGGCTTGAACCCTTGTGCTCCAGCAAAGCCCATACATGGGGGCTTCAGAATTCCTATCTGACTCCTCAGGTGCTGCCTGCCCCTGGTGTAACATCTCTGCTGCACTGGGACCCCTCTGCATCCTCTACCCAGCTGGGTGAACCTAGCGCTGTGCAAGCAAATACCATTCACATACACATGAGCAGTGGGTGAAGGTACGGCAGGGGGAGGCAAGCCCCCAACCTTGCTCCCAGCCCCACCCAGTTTGCCCAGACCCACAGGAGCCAAAGTGCCTCCTCCCGCCAGCATCAAGGGAAGGGAGGAGGGTGTGCAGTATCTTCCTCCCGGGCCCCAGAGCATGGGGAAGGTGGGCACTTGGGGGCAGCAACCTTCTGCCCCCAGGATGCCTACAGTAGGCATTCTGGGGGCGGAGAATGGGTGGGGCCATGCTGGTGATTTGGGAAGGCAACACCTTCCGCTGCCTAGCGTATCCACCCCCCTACACAGGCAATCTCCTCCGCGGGGGCTGTTTAGTTACCAATAACCAATGCAGCAGGCAGGCAGCGCTGTAAGCCCGTGTGTTATGTACTGAGGTTCAACAGCATCTCTTCCCCCCGACAGCCCAGGATTTGCATTCATGAGCCGCTGCTTCAACTCCAAAACGCATGACTCCAGCCCCCACCCTCCTCTCCTCCGAAGAGAGGCTTAACATTCATGTTTTTAAACATCGGTTTCTTTTTATTTTGACTTCTGGTTAATGAGTCCCAAAGTGCATTTGGGTCAAATGTCCATTTTTCTGGGCATTCATGAAGGCTAGAAACTTTTAAAAAATAAATTTCATATGGTTCTGTGAGTGCAAGAACTGAGGCCTTATGAAAAAGACCAAATATTGTGAGAATCCTAACACAATCCTGAGTGATAGCAGCGTGGGTTCCTGCCCAGTAGATGCCCCTCCAGAAACCTGATTGGCTTTCTCCAATTCCTGCTATGATAATACAAGAGGCTTTTATTATGAGGCTGCTAGATCAAAACTCAATTCCAGAACACGCTTGTGATCTAAAAATTCTACGTGCCTGCTCTGGCACTGCTTATACCAGGACTGGGGAAAATACGGCCTGCGGGCCAGATTTGGCCTCTCAGGCTGCCGGATCCAGCCTGTGTGTACCCAACGGGGAGTCTCAGGCAGGCTCACACCGCCCTTGCACACCGCTCAGAAAAGTGGCTGTGGGGCCCTGTTTGTCTTTGAAAAAGGGAACCCAGCCAGTGGGAACTGCCTGTTTGAAGAAAATGCGCAAAGCACCTCTCCCCCGTGTCTGAGGCTCGCAGCTATTCACAGACCCACATGGCCCCTGCAGCCAGTGTGGGGACGTGGCAGGCAAGAAGCCTCCCTGAGAATGTGCTGGGCTGCTGACCAGGAGTCGCCCAGGTAAGTCTCCCAGCCAGAGTCTGCCTTTGGCACCCCAACCCCTTCCTCCCCCCAGCCTTCTACCCCCCACTCCTGCAGCCATACCCCACATAACTCAAACCCTTTGCCCCCTTCCTGCACCTCCTCTCAGCTCCTGCACCAGATCCCAACTCCCTCCTTCACCCAACCCCCCCTCCTCCACTCCAATCCCTCACTACAAGCTCTCTTCTGCACCCAACCTCCATCCCAGACCCTGCACCTCTCCCATTAATATCATGGAAGAGTGTGGCCCTCAGCCACTTATCAAATTCTTGGAATGTCCCCCCATCAAAAATGGCTTATAAATCCTGATACAGCATTTGAACACTTCTGCAGCCTCTAATCTGAATATTTTCCCCATGAGACTGTATCACAGGCACATAGCTTGAAGGACTTGATTTGATGACCTCTTGGGGTCCCCTCCAATTCTAAGGGCAGGACCAAGTGCCAACTATATCATCCCTGATAGATACCCTCTCTAACCTGCTTTTAAATCTCTCATGGTGGTGAACCCACAACCTTGCTAGGTAACGCATTCTAGTATTTAATCACCCTCAAATAGACAGGAGTTACCAGTAATGGGGCTTGAACCCAGGCAGGCATAGGCCTATTGGATCTTAAGTCCAAAACCTTAACCACTCGGCTATCCTGGTGCATAACACAAACAACTTCAGCTAATTCTTCAGTGGGAGTTGGTCTGGCGTACGCCGCTCCAGGAGCGGGCTTGCTCTGGTAAATCAACACATTCAAAAGGAAGTGAGAAGTAAAGGGCAGTGGGAGAGTTTCCCAAGAAATGCCTGGAAAAGCAAAAAGAAAAGCTAGCAAGGAAAACACGGACTGGCTTAAACTGCAAAGAATAGATCTTCCACTAGAGGGAGCTCAGAAACTATTCACTACTAAGCAGTAGCAAGTGTTATGAATCATAAGAAAGGAGTTGCAAGGTGTTCCAATTCCCCGACAAAAGAAAGAGAAGAGAGACGCTTTTAACGATGTTCTGCAACCTGTGGGGGGTTGTGAACTCAGGTAGAGAAATTATGATCTAGAAACAAGATGGTGAGGATTTTTTTTCATTGGATCAATGAGGCCATTTCTGACAATGAGGCCATTTCTACACTAGGAAGCTAATGCAAAATAACCGAATTCGACTTAATAACTCCCAATTTTACAAAATCGAACTAGTGTCCCCCCACTTTGGGGAAGCCTTGAAATGAGTCTGAGGCAGGCTCCCTTAATGTGGATGCGCTACCTTGACTTTGACCCCCAGGGAGCACTGTAGGGCATTTACTTTGAATGACTCTGGGGCATATTTATTTCAAAATAGTGGCAGCGAGGCATCCATACCACCACTGTTTTGAAATAACTATTTCAGAATTAGCATTATTCCTTGTAGAACGCAGAGTTAGTATTTCAAAATAACCAGCCCCTTATTTCCAGATCACAGGCTTGGTAGTGTGGATGCTCCGCTTGTTTTCAACCTAAGGGTGGTTATTTCAAAATAAAGCCCTAGTGTAGACCAGGGCTGAGAGAGGTAAGCTTTGGAGCGTACACTGAGGTCTTTCTTAGGTCTGGGAAACCCACTCAAACTGTTTCCACTAATTACAAGATTGTTTAGTGTAAATTGTTAAAACGAATTTCAGAGAACCATTTAAGGTGAGGTGACCTGCTAACACCCCTTAGTCATGGGGGAAGGGGAAGAAAGGGCAGGGAAAAAAGGCAGGTTGGGAGAGATTGTTAGGGGTTATGGTAATAAGCCCAAAATCCAGTGTCTCTACCTAGCTCATTATTATTAGCGTCTAACAAAGTTCTGTGTTATAGTTCATCTTCCCCATGCAGAGAGCAGTGGTGATATTACACAGCTAAGATGCTATATTATAATATATATTTTAATATACTCATGTATGTTATTTTTGTCTCATCAACTTTAATATATGGAAAATAAATAAGCCACTTTTGTATATTAAAAATGCAATGACTCTCAGACTAGGTCCTTGAATTTCCAAAGTAGACCAAGGGACTATTTGGAAGGTATCAAAAATGATTTTATACTAGCATCAGTTCTAGAGGTGGCTGAGGAATAGTTCCCCTGCCCCACCCCATGACAAATTTTGACCTTGTTTTTGTTAATTTTTCTTTTCTATTTTTGCAGTTTTCAAAAAATTTCACATTGAGGGTTTTCTGTGATTACCTCCCCCCCACACACAATTTTGTCAATATTCATTTTTAGCTAAAATGCATTTTTGCTTAAAAATAGTTTTGACAGAAAATTTTTGACCTGCTCCAGTAACTTCATAAACTTCAGGGGAGCTACTCCTGCCTCACACTGTTGTGAGTGAGATCAATATCAGGCTTATGTTGATTTTACTCTGATGCCTTTTACAACCTCTGTACTCGGGCATCCTTAATTCGGGAACACCCCTGGTTTGGACCCTGGCAGGAGGAGACAGAAGTGGCTCTGTGCACTGCCGTCCCTCTCCCCCCCACACACACACACCTCTGCCAGCTGAGGGAAGGGCAGTAGAGCCATGTGCTCTGCCGGAGACTTTTCCCTGCTGCTCCCACCATGGGAGCAATGGGGGACATGAAGCGCCCTACTCCTATCCCCTTCCCTCCCTGTTTCCCAGGGTTGCCGGATTAAAGAGGTTCAAGTATATTAATTTCATTCCCCACCTTTTTTTTAATTTAAACTCTTCCGAAGTCAGTGATGCTTCATCAGTTTATGCAAGCTGAAGAACTGGTCCCTACAGTTCCGTATTTCACTCTTGACCACAGAATTATTGGGAGGAATTTCTGAAGCATTTTAAGATATTGTTAAATATGGGAGCTGCTTGCAGTGCTGAAATAGACCGTAAATCCATTTAGCATCTGACAGTTTTGCAGTGAGAGAGTCTAAAGGCTTTGATTTACACTCATACAAATCTCAGAGACTAGCTCAGCTTGCTTTCAGAATAGCTACTGGTAGCATTTCAAGTCACTACGTTTTTGTACTGTTGCAAGCTTAGATATAATGTAATTCATTTTATACTAGTTAAGGCAGAACCCCAAACCCCGTATATCATAACTTCAGGGAAGTTTTACTCTCAGTCTCTACTTCGCAGCTGGCTTGTGTCTGTAATGAGAGAAGTCAAAGTGCTGAATCTGAGAAATTCTGAACTTTGGAAAAGTTTGGACGCAGATCCAGCTGGAAACACTCTCTGCTGTGTCACAGTGCAATTTGTGGACACAGCAGATGTCTTACTGGATGTAAGATACAAAGAGTCTGGGAGTTCTGAGTCACTAAATCTGGTGTCATGCAATGTACTGTTGGTGTGGTATTGCCAACCTCAAGCATACAAAATTCTTGACAGTGACTGAAAAATTATGAGACTTAAAAAAAACAACAACAAAGGTTGATACTTTTTTTATTTGCGTTGTGCTATTTGAGTCTTTCAGGTACATTTGGGCCACTTTTTCAAGCTGTTCTCCATAATCATGCAGGTGAGAAACATCTTTATTTTTTAAGGAAAGCTGAGATTTTTGCACCGTCAGAATTCTAGGATCAGAGGCTACATCTAGACTACAAAGAAAAGTCAGAAAAAGATAGGCAAATTGTGAATCGCAATTTGTGTATCTTTTTCCACTTTTCTTTCAAAAGAGGCTTTTCCAAAAATTGGCACGTCTACACGACACCAAATTTTGGAAAAACCTGCTCTTTTGAGCCATCCCTTCTTCCTCGTAAAACGAGGATGGCGAAAGAATGCATCCTCTGGTATCCCGGAAAAGTACTGCAGTCTAGAAATAACCAGAGTCTTTAAGGAAAACACCTCCAGAGTCACACTAAAAACATGAGAGATGACAAAATTCTCAATTTCATTTTTTACAAAAGCATTAACTAAAACCTGAAATTCCCTGATTTCTCAAGAGTGCTTAGACTGCAAAGTCTTAGGGCAGGGTCCATGCTTTTCCTTGTACAGTGTCAAGCACAGTGGATGAAGCAAAATACAGGACTATGTAGCACTTTAAAGACTATCAAGATGGTTTATTAGATGATGAGCTTTCGTGGGCCAGACCCACTTCCTCAGATCAAATAGTGGAAGAAAATAGTCACAACCATATATACCAAAGGATACAATTTAAAAAAAATGAACACATATGAAAAGGACAAATCAAATTTCAGAACAGAAGGGGGATGTGGGGGGCGGGGAGGTAAATGACTGGGAGCTAATGATATTAGAGGTGATAATTGGGGAAGCTATCTTTGTAATGGGTAAGATAACTAGAGTGTTTGTTGAGACCCACCATAAAGTGTCGAATTTTAGCATGAATGACAGTTGAGAGGATTCCCTTTCAAGTGTAGATTTAAAAGGTCTTTGAAGCAGGATGCACAGTGGAGGTCTGTTCCATCACTGGGGCTGGTAGGTGCTACCGTATTACAGGTAATATATTATGACTACAGCACATAATTCATCTATATGACACATCGTGCCCCCCAGAGGTGCTAATGGCAATATTTCCAAAATGAGACCAGGATTTCAGCCATGATGAGTTAGGGTTAGGTTTAGGGTAACCAAAATAGGACCAAAATGGGACCTGGGTTTGAACCATGATGACATGAACCAATCTCCCCAGATCTTAACCACTGCAAACCAGGTACATACTAGCTGCAGGAAATAGAAACTTCCCCTGTGAACAGTTTTTTTCTATAATTATATAATTCTATAGTTTTGGGACTTTTTATTCTTTTCTGTGGCATTGCCACTTCCTGGAGACAAGATGGTGAAGTGGAAAGTGTATTAGTTTGACTAGGCATGATACTTCCTAAGTTCCTTTGATTTACCGTAAAGTTGCGAGTATAGTGCGCACTTTTTTCCCATTTTTTTTAACATCAAGGTTGGGGTGCGCATTATCCATAGGAGTTTTTTTCAAAGTTTTCATTTGGCGGTTCTGCGGCACTTAATTAATCGCTGGACACCAGAGGTTAAGTTGATTTTTATTAACATCGACAAGCAACTATATACACCATTTCAAAAAGGTAAGTTAAATAAATGAAATCAACACCGCAGAGCAAACAAGCAAATACCGTATGTTAATTGATCTTCTACTCATTTTCGAAGCCCTCGAATTCGCGTTTGTTAGAATCTTCCTCGAGCAGACGAGCAATATCTTCCGGGATATAGCCCTCTACATCTTCATCTAGGTAATCATTGTCATCTTCGCATTCCGGTAATTCGCCCTCAGACGATTCATCGTCACTCGGATCCATTCACAGGGCATCATCCTCACTGCCATCCATAGCATTAGAGATGCTGCATTTCAGAAACCCTTTCCTTACAATAGCAGGATCAAGTTCAACCCAGACATCAGCTATCTACTGGGTAACATCTTGCAGCGTCGGTGTTCGCATACGTCCACCTGAAGTAAATATATGTTCACCTTCCAACAACCAGGTGTTTCATTCCCTGCGTAGTGCATCTTTCATTGGCTTGTTAACTGTTACATCAAGCGGCTGCAACATTTTGGTCATTCCACCAGGAATAATTGCCAAGTCTGTTTTGTCTTGCTGGAGCCTTTTCTTGATGGATAGCATACAATGACACTGAAATGCATCCAAAACTACTAAAGACCGCTTTCTCTTAAGTCCACATGGCCGCTTTGCCCAAACTGTCTGTAACCAATC